GCTCAGATTCTCACAGGAGGAGGGCAGGCACGACGTGAAATCACACGGCTTCTACCTCACGAGTACCAGACTTCCTGAGAGTGTAATAAAAAGTTAAATGCCCCCGTAACGGCTGAGGCCAGGTGAGAGTCCTCGTCTCATTAAGTTGGTGGAGTGTTAAAATTCCCCTGGCTTCAGTGATTGCCAGGACTGCTGATAAAATCCACAGCCAGCTGAAAAGGAACTCAGGACCTTCATGCACAGACGGAGCCTGTGCTGTGGGGTTAGTTGAAATCTGGAGATGTGCAAAATGGGGACCAGCTACCAGGCCAGCAGGTTTCTCCCCCAATTACTCCACTTACCAGCAGACCCACACCTTAGCCAGAAGGGAGCTGAACCACTCTTTGGTCCTTCCCAGAAAGAACCACATCCTCAGAGGCTGACAGATTTCATGACAGCTTGAGTTACGGCTGGAGGAGTGGGTCTTTTCTGGGAACACTGCTTTGAGGGCAACTCTCAGGATCCCCAAGTGGCACCCACTTTATGTCCGCAGAAGGTGTGGCCTTTTTTGACTGTGATGCCAAAGAGGTCCATACTTGCAGGGAGTAGCCTGGGTGGCAGCCATGCTAGCTTCCAGGAATGCTCTCCAGCCGCGGAGAGAAGGGCCGCAGTGGAATCTGCAGGTCTCACCGCTCTACTGAGGTGCCTCTTTGAAGGGATTGCTGCGCCTGGGACAGAGGCCACACAGTCATTTCATGGATGCACAGCCTGTTACGTATGGCCCAGGTGGGCAACTCAATGTCCAAGATTTTATGAACTTGGCTCTCCAGGGAGGCTGCGTGGTGTACTGGTAATGAATGTGGCCTCTGGAACCAGACTTTATGTCTTTGAGTCCTGGTTTTTGCCACTTACTTGCTCTGTGTCCTTGGGAAAGTTGCTTAACTTCTCCATGCCTCGGTTTACCTGTCTCAAAGGTACTCTAAAGTACGTGGTGTTAGTTGCTTTAATACGATGTGCTTTGTGGGTAGGATGGCCTGATGGAGGTTCTTCAAGTTTAGGAAAGGATTTTCGGCTTCCTACTGAATGTGTGGGTGCCTAGTGCAGGTGGGAGAGCTGTCTTCTAGAGTCTGTCCTTGGTGTTTCATACTCCTTTCCCAGTACCCACCCTTTCCATCTTTGTTATTTTCCCTTTGCACACCTGACTGATCACCTGCCTGAGATGAAAGACTAGTATAACTGGAATGAAAAGTTCAGGGTCTGTAGCCTGATTGAGCCACTTACTGCCATGGGAGCTTAGACCTGAGTTCCTGCACCTTTTTGAGCAGCAGTGGCATTTGGGGGATGACCAAGGCTCCTGGCGATCTCATAAAGGTGGAGTGGTTGTGCCTGCTGTCACCCTGGCAAAATGAAACAAAGGGCAAACATTGGGAATTCCTGGTGCTTCTCCACTGGAAGCTAAAATGTACCTGACTGTCCCTGTGAATGAAAAAGAATCAGAGACTTTTCCCTTTCCCTCTCCCTTATTGGGAAGCTGGGAGCTGTGTAATGGGAAAAGCACCAGGATGGGAGTCAGGCAACTGGGATTTTGGCAGGTGAGGTCCTAGGTGCGTAGAGCAGGAGCTGAAAGGATGGAGTTTCTATACTACCTGACCCCACTGTATTGAGTGACTCAGGGGCTTCCACTCGCATTGTATTCACAGCGACCCTGTGTTCCTGGAGCTGTGTACTGAGCAGCCCCGTGTTGTTGAAGTGCTGAAAGCAGTCATGGCTTGATTACCCATTCCCTGTGACCTCTGTTTCCTGTTTTAGAAATTAAGGGTCTATTTTGTTTTAAACTGTTGGTTTCTTATAGCATTAACATGATGCGAAGGCATGTAATTAGCTATACGCTCCCATCTCCAGGCTTCTTTTATTCATAGTATTCGATGTCATCTTCTCAGATTTTGCTTGTAGTCTTGTTTACATATCTGTTCGTTGCCTCCAGTGCCCGCACCCCCATTGGCAGGCCCCTGAAATGAAGCAGCATGAGAGTCCTTGTCTGTGCTGGCCATCAGTGCTAACAGAGTGCTTGGCACAGTTTAGCTGCTTAAATATACACACAGGCCCACGTACACATGTGTAACCACACATTATAATGTAGTTACACACATTCGTAAAGACTAGGTAGTCACTCGGTTACTCCTTCCCCCTCCCTCCGCCCCACCCAAGATGCGCCACATTGTTATTTGGAGATCTGAGGACTAGAATTAAGAATGGTAATGTTGTCTGTGTTAAAACTCACTCAGAGTGGCAGTGCCTGGATTCCTGCCTTGTGCGCGCACATAGTGTCAAAGGACAGTTCCTGTGCTCCCAGGGGGAGCCCATGTTTAGGACCGAGGACACTTGTCCATGACAGCGACGTGTAGCATAGGCTGGTTCTGTTTATATGCAAAGTGCAGGTGGCTGGCAGGAGCCAAATATAAACTTCAGAATTGTGTTCACACACATTATTGAGATTTCATATTGCTTTTATTATTTGGCCACAAAAATGGACGTAATCCTTGTTGGCTCTAGCACACTACGAGTACGCTCTCCATCTTGCAAAATATAAGACAAGGCCAGAGCTTAAATTAAAATCCTTGGCTTCTTATCTCCTTCCCACAGGAAAGCAAATCTGTGTTGAAAACCGTAAAATTAAGAGGAGAGCAAGGATAGCATAATTTAGTAAAAATTCATGGCACCAGATTCGGAGCTGTATGGCTGGAGGGATAGGTCAGACGTTATGGAGATGCCGCCTGCTAATGCCAGTTCCTTAAGATGGTGTCTCTGGAAATAGGAGAGGCATGCAAAATATATGTATGTCCTCAGAAGACTTCTGCGATGCTTATTCTTTCTAACCACCCTCAGAAAATACCTTTGTAGATTGTTTGGCAACTATTCTTCTTATGAGACGTTTGAAATGAAAATCAAAACTGTTATTCTAAAGTATGGTTGAAATATATTCATTTTAGCATTTGGGTGTTGGGATTTTTGTTTCCATTTGAAAAGGGGTTTATAACAATACCCTCCCATCCCCGCACCCACCCTCCTACCACCCCCTGCCTCCTCTCAGTTCCTTGTATTTAAGAAGCTCGTCGGTGTATTTGGCAGACTGCATCATTAACACTTGAAAAGCATTGGAACATTTTTTTTAACCTCTTACACATTTATATGCATAGATGTCTGTGTTGAGGTATATAGAGAAGAGGCATGTGGCTTTGATAATGGTGCTCTATTTCATAAGTGCCAGGGGCTATATGTGCAACGCAAGTTCTGCCATTAGAGAGGAGTGATAATTATAAAACAGGGAAAATCTAGTATGGAAATTATATCATTGCTAAAAACGGGTGATTTTTTCCCCCTTGCTTTTTTTTCTTCTTAAGTTTCTGTTGGGAGGAGGTTGTAATGATAGGGTACAGAGAATTACTATTACTGGCTGTGTAAAGAGAATTAAGTGTTACTGGGATAATTATTCCTAACTTTCCTGAGGGTAGACCTTCTTGTTGGAGGCACTTACTTTTTATACCTAATTTGTAAAAAGCATGAAATACAAAATGATATATGTCATAGTGCCGCCACCATACACAGGTGTGTTACAGTGCCCGCAACCAGTCAGGTACCTACATTATAGGCAGTTTTTACTGTTCAGGGCAGTTTTCAGGCATTTTCTCAGATTTTTTAATAGAGATATTTGCTTTGGAGAAACAGATTTCACATGCATTTTAGTCTGTAGTACAGTAAAAATCTCATTAAATCAAACTAAGTATGGTGAAGGCATGCCTACAGTAGTGAATTAGTGAATATTCAGAATTCATCATATCCTATTGCTCCTAAACTCACAAGGTACTCATTACTATAATGTTTGCAAATAGAGATAGCTCTTCATGGCACTGATTAACTAGAATATGTGTTTAAAATCAGAAACACTTTGTATGTATATAAATGTGTTGAGTGTACTTTCTTTTTTGGAGGAGGAGGTGTGGAGTTTCTGTAAAATCTTTCTCTTAATTAAGTTAAACTGTCTGAGTCTTGTTTATATTACTGATTTGCTTAGTAAGCACTTTTGGGGAGAGGGATAGAATTCAATTTTAACCAAACAGAAAGATCCCAGATTTGAAATCAGTGAAGTCCAAATGAATAACCTGTACCTTTAAAAAGTGTTGTTATGTAGCTTTGGACTTCTGATTTAAATAAATTTATTTTTAAACAAATATAAAATATGTTAAAAGTATATAAGATGTTAACAATTTAAAGTGTTTTTACAAGCTATATTTCATATTATGCAGTTAAACTCAAGATTGGAAATTCCTTTTGTCAATTAAGATTTCTAGAAACTAGAGAACATGAAGATGAACTGAGTAGGGCTAAAGTATAATGGATGGTCAGGTTTGATTGACAAAGCTATAAAATATTAAAAGTGGTATGTATAACATGAATCTTAGAGATGTACAATTATAGAGTTATGAATTCTATAAACTAAGGGAATATCAGTACAGCACATTATATTTATTGGGTTGTTTCAAAATTTGCCCTTCAAATTGGCAATATTTATTTATTTGTTCATTGAATGATACTTTATTGAGTGCCTTTTTATTGTCAGACATATGTAATGAATAAAGAGCTTATAAAGCATTCATAAGTTTTGTTCCAATAACTCTTTGTTGGACTCAACCTGAAGAAATAATTTAAAAGGGAATGTAAATATATATGTACAGAGATTCATATCATATGGAATATTAGTAATCAACCCAAATCTCCAAAGGGGAGCTGGTTAAATAACTGACAGTCTCCTGAAGGGCTAGTCATACATTTGAGGGATATTTAACATGGACAGATTCTGAAGAGCTACAGGAGCACAGCAGATGATTTCAGCTATCCAGTCTGCAGAGGGCTCTTGGGTTATGCTGATGCCCAGCTCCTGCTATTGTGTGGCTCTTTCTTCGGGAGAAGAGACAGGAGCTGTGCATCCATGATTAACTGTTGACCTTGTGCTTACTTTGCAGTCGAATAAAGTGCCCGTGGTGCAGCCATCCCATGCGGTTCATCCTCTTACCCCCCTCATCACTTACAGCGACGAGCACTTTTCTCCAGGATCCCACCCGTCACACATCCCATCAGATGTCAACTCTAAACAAGGTGAGAGCCCTGCCTTCCCAGGTCTTTTTCAGTGAGGAAGGAGCTGTGTCTCATCTGGGTGACCTTACAGGTGCCTTTGCTCCATGCTACTTGGTGGATCAAAATACATTTATAGGAGACGAATAATTTATTTGATAGCAATTTTTTATAAACCTGTAAGAATTTGTTTTAGCTTCTTTAATTTTTCAGGGTAAAAAAAAAAAAAAAGACGAAAAATCTACAAGGATTATTTTCAAAGTGACAGCGCTGAAAATCAAGGACCCACAATATAAACCAATATGTTATATACTAAAAATTCAATCCTTGGTGCCCCCTGCAGTTACTCATTTGTTTCAGCATGTACTAGATGTTGATGGTAGTGTTAAAAGAAAAGTTAGAAAAGGGAAAAAGTAGGAGATATTTATTTACAAATGTTATCTTTGTGAGCCTTTAGTGATGTCTTTTGGTCTCATCTATATCCCTGTTAAGCTTTACCCTCTTTTTGTTATTTACCAGCACCAACTTAGATATAAGTAATAGAGAGCAGAATCATAACATGAATCTTACTTGCCTCTCTACATGACTACCAGTTCCCCTTCTGTGTCACTTACAGAAAAGCACACTGCACAGAGGTCTGAGAAATTGAAACGCCCGATGGGGGTGGGGTGGTTAGCTGCAGGACACAGAGTTCACGCTCTCCCAGCCTGCTGGTGCCATTGGCTGAGAGCAAACTTTGAGGATAAATTTGTTCCCGGGTGGCCTGTGCTCTTCCCATGTACGTACGCACTTGGACCTCAATGGAATCTTTAGGAGTTCAAATAAGAGATCCCATATACCTGAAACTAATATAGTGTTGAATGTTAACTGTAATTGAAAAGAGAGAGAGAGATTCTGGCCTGTGTGGCTCAGTTGGTTAAGTGTAGTCCCATGCACCGTGTGCCATGCCCCATGCACCAGGAGGTCACCAGTTCGATTCCCAGTCAGGACACATGCCAGGTTGTGGGCTCCAGCCCCTGTAGGGGGCATGCAGGAGGCAGCTGATCTATGTTTCTCTCTCACATCGATGTTTCTATCTATCTCTCCCTCTTCCTTCCTCTCTCTGAAATCAATAAAAACATATTTTAAAAATAAAAAAGAGAGCAAGAGAAGTAAAGATCCTGTAAGACCAAGTGAACACAGAGAACAGACAGGTATAAAATTTGCCATCTTCAGCACCTCACCCTTTGTCCAGCCCTATCTTTGACCTGTGGTGGAAACAAAATTTATTAAGTTTGTGAAAAAGAGTGGAGTTCAGAGACTGGGTGTTTTTTTCCACCACCACTGTGAGCATGTCTAGGTTAAATACTAACACCTTCATTTCCCTCCCTGGTTAAAATAGGCAACTTATTTAGGGACTTAGTTATTATTGGACTTTGACTTGAGGGGAGCCCAAGTACCTTTACTTAGAGGTGAGAATCATCTTTGCAGAGGTTTCCAGACTTTAGTCCTCATGTCCAGTCCTTTCTCTACTTCCTTTTACCAAGGACCTCCAAAGAATATGAAACACCAAGGACAGGTCTGGGGATTTATGGTGAGAACAGGAACTAAGGCATTTTAGGAAGATGGCCAAGTTTGAGAGGGAAGATCACGAATATGACCTTGGTTATGGCAAGTTTGAGTTATCTGAAGGGAGACACACTCGAGGTAGGCAGTTTAAACATCCCAGTTCCAGAGCAAGGCCTGAGCTAGAGACACACCTGGGAACCACAAACCTGTAGGTGACAGTTAAACGTAGTTGTAAAAACTCAAACAAGCTATTAACAAAAAGAACCCAACAGTGTGTTTTATTAAGTTTTTAACTATTTCTTCATTTAACAGTTACATGGTGCTTCCTGTGTCCTAGGCCCTGTTCTCAGCGCTTCGAATTAACTTATTTAAAAGAATAAGATGTATTGGTTTAGTAGTTTTTCTCTTAATTCTAGGGCAGTTCATTTTTTAAAAAGGCAAGTTTATTATCAGCTACCAATTACATTTCTGCTGTATCTTCTGTTTCTATCACTTACCGCTACCCTGCCTTGTTTTGCCTTACTAATTGTGATTATATCATTGCTTCTCACACTTTTTTCTTTTTAACAAACTCTCCAGAACTAGAGAAGGCCTAGTGGGCATGACCAAAAATTGTCTGCTTGCAGTATCTTTGAAGTCTTTATTTCATCCTAAAAATTTGTGTTATTTTTGCATTCTACTCCATACACTCTTTGTGTTGCTTTTAATGTAAAGATTCTCTTTTTAATCTCTTTTTGTCCTGGACTTCATAGATCTCATCACCATGTATCTCAGGGGATATGTAAACTTTGGTTTGAAACGAACAAATTTACATGATTTTGAATTTATATTATTCCATCTGAGTACACTCATCACCAAAAAAGTAAGTAAAAAAGCTCACTAGGTTTTCCGCCTTTTCTGTCCTACTGTCTGACAATCTTTTGGCTTTATGATGTAGCGCAGCTAGTTAGAACATGATGCTGAGGCCAGAGTTGTTGATTTCAAAGTTCCCAGGAGGCTAGTTAGCTTTATTAAAAACAAACAAACAAAAAATGTCATGTGGATACTCTAACACTAGATATAACCATCCAATAAGCATAAACTGTTTGTCATCAGAACCTGTTCTTATTTATAAGGAAATAACTTTAAGTTAATTTCCCACTAGGAATCATATTAGTTTTTACCTTCCTGTCAGTGTGTTGGGGTGTGTGTGGAGGGTGTATGTGTAGAAATGGGAAAGGAAGATAATGCCAATCATTTTGTTCTACTGATTATGTCTGGGAAAAATGTTAAAAGGAAAGAGCTTTTAGGAAATGCCGGGTTTATATACCTACTTATATCTTTGTATTCTTCATTGTATCCTGATAAATAACAACAAAGACATATCACTTATACTGTGTACCAAGCACTTTTCTGTATTACATATATTAATGCAGTTATTTTTCACAACAACCCTTATTCCATTTTTATTCTGATTTTACAGAATAATAACTTCCTCAAAGATATGCAGTTGAGTAGCAAAATTAATATATCCATACAGTCTGACTTCAAAATCATTTTTATCTAATTTATAAAAGTTACTTGTAAAAGCTTAAAAACCTTTAAGGCCATGCTGTGTAGAGCTTGCAGCACATACTAAGTGTTCAGTAAATACCAATTAAATGAATGATGTGAAAGGTATCTTCGGTAGACAGCAGTTGGTAGAGGATCACACACTTCTAGAAATCTTTGGAAACAGGATCTTAAAACAGTAAGCTAGTTAGAAAACACAAATCCACTTTCTGCTCACGTAATGACTTCAGTCCTATCATGTACTGTGTATGTACCTGCAAAATGGTTGATAATGTTGACCCAGCATGGGGAATGGGTTTGTTTAAACACTTTTTTTTCCACTTGTTCATTTGTTCAGTCACTCAAAAGTATTTATTGAGAGCCTCCTGTGGAGACAACCATGGTTTGATACATTGATTGGTAAAACATGGCTTCTTTTTTCCAAGCTCTATTTAAACTCATGCAGGAAATCATTTGCACAAACTAACTATAAAACAAAATGAAGAACATCTTTAGTACCACGTAAAAAGTACAAATAAAATCTTGTAGATTCAAAGAAGAAAGATTTCTCAGAGCTGTAAAAGTTGGAGAGTATTCCATGGGAAAGGGGTATTTGAAGTATGAGTGGAATTTTAATAGAAACAGTCAAATTGAATGACTAGCATGGGAAGTAGCATGTAGCGGGTGCTATGTAAACGTTAGCTTTTTCCTTCCTCCTTCCGAGCAGTAAAACCAAATCCAACTAGTTTGTATATTGTTCTGCTGAATCACCCTACACAGAGTCAGCGATGTGTTCTAAGCACATTCGGGACTAGCATGGGCAGCAAAGTTTTAAGCTTGTTTGCTGAGGGACGTGATTGTAAGCAAGTTACTTCTCTGTGTCCCAGTGAGAAGAGCCCAGGACAAACCATTATTTTGAGGGGACTCAGTCCCCTCACCTCTCTGACAAAGGGGTTAAAGTAGACAATTCAGGTAGTCTCTCACCTCTGACCATGATTTTCAAGTTCATATTTTTACAAAGTTTCCAGAGTCCTTCTCAGTTGGTCTGGGGGGTCTGTGTGTTTTTTTCCAAAACTGAGCAGTCCCTCTGCAGACTCTGAGGTTTGGGGAGGGTTTATGACTCTCAGGTGAGAGTGGTGGCCAGCAGAGAAACTGCCCAGTGATTCTGATGTCACATATCACCACTGTAGGCTCCCGTAGGATCACCCCTGCTGTTCAAACCTCCCCAGACCCAAGAATAATATCCAAGGTATGAAATTTAGGGTCTCCTGTAACCAAAAGAAGCAGTACATGTAGGCACAAAAAGGAGATTTTTAAAACATTCTTTCAAAAATGGCAAAACATGAGATGATTATGTAAAAACAGGCAAGGTCTCTGTTGAGGGAGAGATTAAAGCCCCTACTCTGTCCCACCTACTTCCTGCAAAAATTGAGAAATAGTTTGTCCTAACTTCAAAGTCAAATTAATATCAACTTCGGCCTGGCCGGGCGTGGCTCAGTGGCTGAGCATCGACCTAGGAGCCAGGAGATCGAGGTTCGATTCCCGGTCAGGGCACATGCCCGGGTTGCGGGCTCGATCTCCAGTCGGGGGCGTGCAGGACGCAGCCAATCAATGACTCATCACTGAAGTTTCTGTCTCTCTCTTCCCTTCCTCTCTCTGAAATCAATAATGATATATTTTTAAAAATTAATATAAACTTTGAAGGCAGCCTTCTTAAATTATTCCCATATGCTTAAGGCCTTCAGTATCTTAAGATTCAAATGGAACTCAATCAATTTAAACAGTAAAAAAAGCAGAATACATAAAGAGCATCTTCCAGGTGCTCACTCAATTCCACATACTGCATCTTCTAAGTCTTCAACTTGGGAATATGTGTTTATATATGGAAATGACCTTATAAAGTCAGATTAGCTGTATAAAGAAATCATTGTGGCTTTTTTCTATTCAGAAATCACTCACTTTCCCCCAAATACATTGAATCTAAGTTTTAATATTTTGCATTTTTATGCATGTCTCACTCCTTATCTGTACCCAAGGTATGATATAAACAGAGATGTCATTTGGGACTAGGATTAGGTATAATCTTTAGGTGGTTTTTACAATTATAGGACAGTGTACTCTAGGGAGTGTGGGCTCAGGAAACAATTTGGTGGCACTCTCATTTTCTATGGAATACAACTAATCCAGAACAGCTTGACCTTGGAGCCCAGAGGACTCAACTTGAAGGGCTTAGTTGGAGCTGAAGTGGCAGAGACCAAATGAATCATATCAAGTGTGACCATTATGGGGCTAAAGATGATTCCTAATTAATCTTTGATTCTCTGAGGTATCACATTTCCCAAATCTGTGTGTCCATAAGGGAGCCAATAAAAATATGAAAGTGGCAATTTACCTAATCCTTGAGCACCACGGCAGGCCATCTACTTACGAAGGGCTCTCATTTTCCATTCTACACAAAAACAATTGTCTACCATTTTCTTAACCCAAGTGAAACAATGTGGGCAAACTAAATCATTTAAAAGTCTTATTTTGATGACTTTTATTAGCAGTATATTTACTCTTTCAGGAATTCCTCAAGATGGACTATTTTAAAACCTGTTTTCTCAGATGTTGAAATCTTGAGAAGAGATACCAAACTGACTTCTGTTAAATGGATCTGACAAATAAATGCTGTTTCAGTCTAGACCTTAAGAAGTAATGGCATAAAGCATTTTATTTCCTTTCTATTGCCGTAAGATTCAAATGTGCTATGAATCTGAACATTCTGCCTCTCCGTTCTTTTTAACAGGCATGTCCAGACATCCTCCCGCTCCTGAGATCCCTACCTTTTACCCACTGTCTCCGGGTGGAGTTGGACAGATTACCCCACCTCTTGGCTGGTAAGATCCTTCCTGCAAACGTCAGCCAGGCATTCAAACAATGTTCTCCTACTTGCCATCCTTGGCAGTTAGCTTTATGAATGATAACCCTTGTGGAGCTGAGGGAATTGTACAACAACAAACAAGGTGCTAACTTTATTTCCTTTTAATTTAAAAGATTAAAAAACATACAGACTTTGAAATGGATTGAATCCATTTGCTTATATGTGTAGAAAATGACTGTAGCGTTTGCTTTGAAGCTTCTAGTTTTATGGATTCAATTTGTGGCTTTGGGCATGAGCTGTGCCTGTACAAAGTGCTCAGTGTGGTTTTCTTTTCTGGGTTTTTATGAAAACATATATTTGAAGGAAATTTAGACACACTGAATATCTATATACTATCTTTGCTTATAAATGGCAAGTGAGGTAAATGACAAATAGAAATTTAAAAACACAAAAAGGCATCTTTTGAATTTTGATAAAGTAAGTTCCAGCTTGAGTACAGAGAAGTAAAAAACTAACATTTGGGCTTTTTTCTTTTCCAGAATCTAATTGCTCTTTGTTATTTCTAAAAAAATTCTTAGCTGTTGCCTTCAAAGTTTTCTAAACTGTAAAGGTAAAGGAAAGGAAATACCTCTAAGGAAGAAAGAATCATTTCATAGAGTGTAACCTGTTTTCATCATTTTATTGTGAGCACGCCCCTTTCCCTGCTCCGGCTCCTGCGCCTTCG